GTGTTACGAGGCACATGTGACTCGTATGAACATGTCTAGTTAGGGCAGCAAACATAATTGCTTATTTTTCTGTGGGGTGACACGTGTTTTGATAACATAATTCTACAAACATCATACTTGATATATCGATATTATTTTATAAGGTGCAATAAAATATATTAATTTAATAGTATGAGGCACGGGTGATTCATGCTGCCCTGTATTAAAATAGACTACAAGTCACGGGTGATTCGTAATGCCCAGCAGCTACCTAAACATTTATCTACTGACGCCGTGAACATGTTAAATGAGCTTTGCTAGTAATAAGTGTTAATTTAAATTACTTTTTAAATGTTTAAAATGCCTTCTAGATGATGATATGATGTAGTGTAAAAAGAAAAGATTGAAAGAGAATCATCTGATTATTATGTATTTTATGGCATTTGTTTTGTGTTTTAACTTGTTATTTAACAAAACTTAATATGAGTAAAACTGATTATTTAAAACTTTTTCCATATTTTACTTCACTAAAAAATCTTAAAATTTAGTTTCAAAATCATGTTGCCTCCTGGATTCAATGAAATATGGCAAATACAGATTTAATTTTCTCAACGCTAATGAACTTTGAAATTAATTATCAATGATCATTTGTTTATAGTTTAAATTTTAAATTGATTACATTCTAACTGATTAAACCATTACTAATTGATTTTCTTGGATTCCTGTCAATTTAATGTTCAAAAACTGAAATTATGCTTTTGATTGGCTTGTAAATTTCAAATGTAAACAATTTTGAACTTGAAATTTGAAAATTAATTCTGCCCAAAATATTTTAATTTCTTGCAATGATTAGTTAGAAAGAAAAAAATCAATTGACTAATGGTAATTTTAAGAACAGCATAAATAGGTGATTTTTGTTTAGTATCTCTTCTTTCAAACAAAGCTTTTACACCTTTTTATCATATGTAAATTTCTGTGTTTTTTTTTGTCTTTTGAATAGAATAAACCCCCAAAAAAACTCTTGCACAATTAGTTTTAGTCAATACAGTAAAAGCTCAATTTAACAAACCACTGCAAGACTGAAGAAATTGATCCATTATATCAAAAAGTCCATTACTGTATGGTAGAATCACATTAGAATATATCTCGATAACAGACTGCATATCGCAAACTGCAGATGTTTTCACCAGGTACAGATGCCAAATCAATGTATTTTTACCTCATTTCAGAAGATCTGTTATTGCAAACATAAGAAGATTCTACTGTATATAGTAATATCAACTTGTCCATTACTATATATTGTTAATGTGAACAAAAGCCAATTACATAGTGAACAAAATTTCAGTTGTAAAGTGTATAAGCCAGATTTTTATTAAACTTGTAAAAATAAAACTTTTATTCGTTTTTTTTAAAATATTTTTAAGAAAAGCTTGTTGTAGATTCTCTCTTGCTTTCCAAAAGTCTGGAATTGTCTGCTTACACAGAACATTACTGATTTTGGCTTGAGATTTTCCATGTTCAATATAATGAATTATATCTATTTTTTCTGTTAAATCTAAAGTTTTTCATTTCTCTTTTATGATCCATGTCTTTGCTTTATACAACAAATGCACAACTCCTTGCTCATAGAGAGAAGGAAATTAAAACTGACAAAAGTACTCAATCAGAAAATAGAACAAAAACTAAATGCAATGTGAAAATCTTTGCCAAAAAAGTGATTAAAAATGAATTTTTTATTAATTTTGTACTTATTTTTTCCAAATAAAGTAAATAAAATGATGGCTATGATGAAATAAAGCAGCAACTAAAAAGTCCATAGTAATGGAAGGACAGTGGTCTGTGAGACCTAAAAAATAGTCCATAGTAGTGAGAGTCCATTATAAAAGAGTCTGTTACAGTGAATAAGTTTTCTGATAATTTTCATATACTTTGGCCAATTAACATCAACTGCCTGTAATAATAGATGATCCATTATATTGGGGTCTTTAACATCAAGCTTTTACTGTATTTGTAAATTTTAAAAAGTATTCTACTACTGACTAATAAAGACTTGCTCAATCAGTAAATCCTATGAATAGAACCAAAGGCTGTTTCAATCTTAATCACAAAATATATACAGCTCCCCTACTTACATTCAACTTATGAACTTTCAGACTTATAAATATAAAATTATTTGTCCTGACGGACTGACTGACTCAATGATTCATCATCGCCCAGAGCAAACCGCTGAACCTAAAGAGGTGAAATTTGGTACACAGTTAGGGTATGTCATGAAAATGCACACTAAGAAGGGATTTTTGAAATTCCCCCGTGGGGGGAGAGGGAAAGCATTAAGACTTAACCGGAAGAATGGCTTCTACCGTACTATTTTAGATGTGATTTTTTGTTTTTATCTGCGTTGTAGTAGGGTATGCCATGAGAATGCACACCAAGAAGGGATTTTTTGAAATTCCCCTGCGGGGGGAGAGGGAGAGGATTAAGGCTTAACTGGAAGAACAGCTTCTACTGTACTATTTTAGATGCAATTTTTTGTTTTCAACTACGTTTAGTCTTTTTTGAGTACTTAGGTGTATTAAATTGATAACATTTCAGACATTGTTATAAATATTTTCATATATTTCGATTTTTTAACCAAATGTTCGAAGTGTTTTAAATTTGAATTTGTTATTGCATATTGGTTCGATTATAGAATGATTGTAGACATTCCAGAAAATTGATCAAATTGAAAACAGTTCGTTTGATTCTCAGCAATTCTCATTATTCTCAGCAGTAGGTGTTATATAACAATTACTATGGTTGTTGAAATACTGAATATAAATGGGGTTTGCTTGCAAAACCACTGCAGGTGAAGTCACGGGCAACAGCTAGTTTGATCATACATCTATAATTTAAATTTTGTGTAGATTCTAAAGTTCTCATGATGCTTATTGAGTGGTGTTAAAGTCAGTCTTTGGCTTGTAATAAATAGTAAATTTTAATAAATAATAAATAATGTGGATTTATTTCATTTAAGTATCATCATTTTTCAGTTTTGTGCAAATTCTGACATTCATTGCTGCTTGTGAAGTGTTGACAAAGTTGGTAATGTTCGAGTAATAGCATTTTTCGCTATTGTTTGCAATTTTTATAAACTTTATAGTTAGTGTTTCAAAAATGCATATAAAAAAATAATGGAAGCAGAGCATTAGTGAAGCTCCTTCTATGAGGCTTACAGAATTGTGTTTGTTATCAAAATCTGTTCGATCAATTTTGATTAAAACTGCCATTTTCCATTAACTGAGACGAAAAATCCAGAAATGTAATGCGAGTCTATTTAAATGTAAATCCAGCAATGAATCACTTAACTTTCCTGGCAACATTTAAAATTCTGGTGGTGCTACCCTGTTACGATATTTCATTAAAATAAACTGTTTACAGTTTTAATTATTATAAAATGGCAAAAAGCTTAATTTTGAGGGTAGGGATGGGCTTCATAAAAACTGTAAATGCTGATAACGAGTAAAATTGTCATTAAGTCTGACCCTATTCAAGATATGACATACGACCACCCTTTATCTCCCTACCCTATCAACCTTAAATCACCAAAATTTAATAGCATGAATATGTCTAATATACAAAGCTTCCTGCAAAATTTCAGATATTTTTGAAAGCACAGGAGTTATTAAGCTTCAAAGAGGATGAACGAAATTGTGTCACACACAAACACACACATTAACATTCCCATACACAGAAAAAATTCTGAATGTTTTTGCATTTTGTGACGTTTCAAGGTCCCCTAAATCTAAAAATGTAAAAATCTTGGAGGGGAGTCATTTTTTGACTGATTGCCATACTTTTCCCTCTGTTATCTATAACAGAACCAGGAAAGTAAAAATAGAAGTCCATGACTTCATTTTTGATATACAACAGTATTACAGTGACAATGCCCATGCTCTCCAATGCGAGAAGTGCACCTAACAGAATTTAGGCCTAGGGTCAAAAATAAAAACAGTATTATGTGCCCTAATGGAAATAAATGAGAAAAATGAACAAAACACAAGAACAAAGCAATATCCATCAATTGCTTTGTTATTGGATTGTCTCTCTGTACCTAGCAAGTGCAAGAATTGTATCTCCCATGGCCTGTAGGTATGAGGATAGCGTCTTTTGTGGTAGCAAGTGCAAAGTTCACCTGTCTGCATCCATCAGGTACTGTATAAGGATCACCTCTTCTGTGCCTAATAGGTGCAGGATTGCTTCTTTCCTTCCAGATCCACCTCAATTCTATTGCAATACAACAAAGGTCTCATGATGTCCTAGTAGTAAATCTAACAGTGGAGATAAATGCGAGAAGTATTGCTCTATTACCATGGAAACTAAAGTTGACTTTATAAAACAAGTGTGTTAGGTGAAAAATAACCACATTCGAAACAGCTGCTCTAAGCAGTAGTGAGCATAATGTATTCTTTTAAGTACATTAAAGGATCAAACACCAAGAATACATGATTATTCTGTGTACAAATGTACTTTCTAGGTTAGTTTTTGACTTATGAACATTTCAAATTACGACAGAACCTTAGAAACTCACCTGTTTGTAAGCAGGGGAGCACCTGTATATATTTTTTTGTGTAAATGAAAACTATTAAAACTTATGAAAAAAAAAAAAAAAACACTTGAACTTGGCACCATATTCAAAAAGAAGAGAAAAAATTTTTCATTATGAAATATCTCAAATGAGTTGAAAAATGTAAAAATACTTAAATAAATTAAATGATATATATCAAAATGTGATCTTTAATATACTGTATATAAAAGTTCAGGTAGAATTTCAGTATAGATTTTACACATAATTTTATTAAGCATTTTGTAAAATTTCAAATGACAATGAAAAATATTATCTTTATAAATAAGATATTAATTGCAAAAATCAAATCAAAATTAAAATATTTTTTACTTTAAAATTTTACAACTTATATTTGTTCTGAAAGAAACTTATAAATAATATATATGAATTTTGTATAAAATCTGTTAATATTACTTACTCGTGATTTTCATCTGATCCCCAACCAGTTGTTGTAATTGGCAACTCTTCATCATTTGCATCTGTTGCAATCATCTAAATTGTAAAATATGAGTTTTAAAATATAAATAACTTTTCAACTTTTAAAAAATTATTTCTCATTATTTAATTTGAATTCATACACACATAAAAACACAATCAAACAATAATTGAATTAATTACTAAATATAATGATTCATTCCTAGTTTCTTGATGTAATTTTTTAACGAATAAATGAATTAGATATTATTGATAAGCATATTATATGATAAAAATAACTTAAAAAGCTTAAAAGTTTATAATTACAGGCTATTCTCATTTAACGCTGGTTTGTTTTTTGCTAATTGAAGAAAATGCCAGTTTCAAAATTTTCCAAAATATCGAAAAAACTTTTTTCTACAATATGTGGAATATTTTTTTGCAAATACTAAATGCAAATATTTTTTTTGCAATTGATAGTAGTGTTAGATTCTACTACGCTTCTCTTTAATAGTGATTCCAAGCAATATTGGTTTGTTTATTATTCTAAAGTGTTTATTGTTCATATAATATTTCACTATTTTAAAGTGAAATTATTGTGTAATATTAAAACCAGAAAAATAACAGTCAAATAAAAGAAAATTAATAAATCCAAGATATAACATCCATCAATCTAGAACTTTAGAAGATAAAATGGAAGTCGTTCTCTGAATGGAACGTGATAAAGGCTTTACCAAATTTGTAGAATAGAACATTTAGATACACAAAGAGAGGAAGTTGATAATAAACAGAGATAAACCAGTGTGTGTTGTAAAGATGATAATTACTGAAGCCTTTAAATGATTTCTTGCTGATACCATCTCATTAATTGAAGTGTTGCAAAATGAAAGCGAAATGACTTTGTAAGAAGGCATTTAAATGAAACTTTAGCACCTTATTATGAAATTCTCAAGGAGAGAAAAAGAAAGGCAAAAGAAAGATAAGGCAAACAACTTTGGATTCATATTTCATAAAGATTGATGTATGATCCTCAACCAAGGGCATAATCATAAAAGTTAAGTTGCATTTAGCTGTGTAAGATCAACATAGTGGCAGTATAAAAACTTGCATCATTCTGGCTATAAGTAAGTTATAATTTCTTCCATATTATTATTATTTTCTATTAGTATAAGTTTTGGTACTAAACATGTTTTTATTGAAAAATATATATATATATATATATATTCATTCATGAATGCCTGGAATGCATTCCTATTTATTTCATAATAAAATGGATTTATTATGCATGGATTTTGTTCACACACTCTCCTCCAGGAATAGAAACATCCCAGAAGCTGAAATTTTCTGTACACAAATAAAAATTATTTTCTTATAAAAAATCCTCAAGCTACGTTTTTGTTTAATTACAACTATCTTTAAAGCATAATAACAGCTACAATAAGTCAAATTAATAATCTATATATAGTTGTTTATTACAATTTTTCATTAAAATTAAAACAGTAGTTTTACTGTTTTATTTAGATATAGTGTCAATTCACTTGCCTAATCAGACTATATTAAATTTCAGTTGTATTACTATGCTAGTCAGTGTAAAGACTATCAAGTTATATATATATATAATGAAGAATATGTTAAACAGGATGTAGCCACACAGGGCAGTATTACTAAACTAAGCAGTCTCAAACTAAGACTCTTTCTCCTCTCAATGTCTGCTGGCCCCAATGCTGCCCCATATGACTTTAAAAATAAACTGTATACAAAACATGTCACAAGCAGTTGACCACTAGATTAAACAGAAAATAGGTACATCAGACTCAAATACTAGGCTAAATGAATAGCCACAATGCAAAGACAAATAAAATTGAATATTTGTTCAGCCTTTTGCTTTTTTTTTATCAAGCATTTTCATGTGTATCACTGGTTTGTATATGACAAGCAAAGAGTTACCATATCAATATGGCAACTCCTTGCACAATAATATATTGCTAATGATCTTGGACTATTGCATTATTATGGTAGTCTATTTACNACAGCTTCGAGAATTTTTTCTTTGCCTTTTATAATTGTTCTGACCGACAATTCCGGTAGATCAAACTTCTTTGCCAATTCACAAATTTTCATTTTTGTATCGAAGTCTTTAATAATGGGTATGTTCGTAAAGTCAAACGAGTTAAACGCATTAGTAACGAATCGTTCGAAAAGTCTAACGAAATATGAATAACGATGACTTCATTCTCGCTTAACTCGTTCGACTTTACGAACATACCCAATGTTAACTTTACATTCCAAGTTTTTCTTTTCTTGTTTGATGCAGAAGAATTAGTTCTACTTTGTTTGGATGACATAGTGGAGTCTCTCAAGTCTCCGTAGATATAAGAAACACAAAAATAAATAATACAAAATAAATTGTAGCCATGTGTCGATTCCGCATGACACGTCCGAACATGTAAGCCGAACAATAGTGTGGGGGAGTGAGTAATCGAGAGTTGCGTGGCATTCAAACAAAAGAGGAATCGACGAGATTTGAAAATCGCGTAACTCCGGGTTCGCGTAAATTGGGGTATTACTGTATTATATTATCAGATGCATAAACATTAAATTAGTATCATTTATAGATGAACATAAACTTGGAATATATTAAACATTAAATAAATTTATCATTTAATTTAAAGAATTAAATTAGAAATTTCCTATAAACGTACCTTTTCTGAATTTTCTAGCTCTGATGTAACAACTGGTGTATGTGCATCTAAAATTTCTTTTTCTGTATTGTTCAGATCAGAACTTGTTTGTGATGATGACGATGATGCTGATGATGGTGACAAGGATGACGATGATGAAGAGATTGCAGGTAATAGAGGAGATGAATTATTTTGTGACATGGACATTTTTTTATACTTTGCAGAAATGTTTCCACACTGTACTTCTTCATCTAAAACATATTAAAAATTATTTTAAAACTTTCATTTTAAAATTTATTTAAGTATGAAGAAAGTAATTTAAACTTATAATATAAATATATTCTGGATAATTCATTTTCCATTTTAAACAGTTATGATATATGCAAGGATGTAGCCACACAGGGCAGTATTACTAAACTAAGCAGTCTCAAACTAAGACTCTTTCTCCTCTCAATGTCTGCTGGCCCCAATGCTGCCCCATATGACTTTAAAAATAAACTGTATACAAAACATGTCACAAGCAGTTGACCACTAGATTAAACAGAAAATAGGTACATCAGACTCAAATACTAGGCTAAATGAATAGCCACAATGCAAAGACAAATAAAATTGAATATTTGTTCAGCCTTTTGCTTTTTTTTTATCAAGCATTTTCATGTGTATCACTGGTTTGTATATGACAAGCAAAGAGTTACCATATCAATATGGCAACTCCTTGCACAATAATATATTGCTAATGATCTTGGACTATTGCATTATTATGGTAGTCTATTTACCACATAAGTCTATGAAAGCCATCAGCAATGCAGGTGACCCATACTCAAAAATTTCTGGTTACATAATTGTATACGTTAAAATTAAATTAATTTCATAATTTTTATTTATATACTAATATTTTTTTTAAATAACTGAAATTTAAAATTTTTTTAATTTTTAAAAATACATTATACATTCATATATACTTACTGACAGAAAAATAAGACTGAACACTCCTAAACAGAATCATCTGATTATTGTAAAACTTAGTGTAGATAAAGTCTCAGACAGGTAGCAAATTATTACATTTTTGGTCCATTGCATATCAGATGATGCCATCAGAGTTCCTTAAAATTGCTAACACCTGTAGCTTATAAAAAGGATTGCAGAAACTCTCTATGTTAAGAATTTTCAGTACTTGTGTTGGAAAGACTTTGAATGTCAGCCATGCTTGTATGAGCAGTCAAAGACATGATGCACATCCAATAGAGTTTAAAGAAGGCTGCATCATTGGCTGAGGGAAGTGGGATATCTGTTTTGACAAATTGCCTGCAATCTGGGTCATTCTGAAGTGGTTTTGGGGACAGTGGATAAGTCAGAGCATTCATATATAGCAAGCATGTTCTGTCTGATCATGAGACAAGCACAAATAGCTGCAATGTCTTTGTCCACCATCCAGAGATAGATGGAACACTTGTTACAGAACACTGTCTCTTCTCAATAAGAAAGTGAAGAGGAAAATTTACATGCATGATGACTACTATGCCATTAGCACCCTAACATTATTGGCTTTGTTTGTAGTAATGCAATGACAGAGAAACATAGACTGCTTCAGACTGGCAATGTATCATCTTTAGCAACAAATTTCAATTATGTTTGTTAACAAACAACTACAGGAAATCCTTGTTAATTTGAACTCAGTAGTTCAAAATCCTGTTAGTTCATAACGTACTTTTGTCCCAGCTGGGATATAGAGATTTATATGTTAAGGAATTTAGTTAGTTTGAAATATGGCTACTTTATAATTCAAAGTAAAAATTTTGTCTGAACTGTGCTAATGAATATGTTAACTTGTTCATTTAGATTGAAGTGCCTCTAGCATCCATGCTATAAGAGAACAACAGACCAAGAACAACTCTAATCCGGTCAATATGAGTTTGCTTTTACAGTAACGTATTTTCAATGTCACCTTATGTATGGATTACCTTTTTCTCTCTTATTTCATAAAATATGGTTGTGACAATTGCAAGATTGGGCTATGAGTATCAGATTAAAATATTTGTAGGGCTTACTACTTTTTGGGCCATTTTAAAAATAATTTGAGCTATGTCTGAAGAATTTTGCTTTACTTTTTATAAAACCTATCTGGTGACTCTCATCAGACACATGCTGTTTACTTAAAGTTTATTTATATTATTATGTTGGGTTTAGTGGGTTATACTTGGTTGATACTATGCCAGACCAGAGTCAAGGCATAGCAACCAAAAACAAAAATTAAATAGTGTGTCAGTGTCTGTATTCAGGAATTTCCTAACAATATGGCATGTATTATAGTGGCCTTCTGTAGTGTGATGTAAGTATTTCTATTCAATTGTAATGTTCCCAGACTTTTGTGTAGTGTGTGTGGTATCACACCTGTACAGGAGAGAATGACAGGTACAATAAGCATCCTATCCATCCTCCACAGATGCCTTATTTCCTGGGCGAGTTCTGTGTACTTACTAATTTTATCAGTGCATGTGTTTTGTACATTGTGAGTGTTTGGAATGGCTATGTCTATAATGTATGTGACTTTATTGTGTTTGTCAATGAGTGTGATGTCTGGTCTGTTGTGGTAAATTGTTTTATCTGTGATTATGTCTCTGTCGTAGTACAGTTTGTGCATGTTGTTTTCCAATACTGTCTGTGGAATGTATTTGTTGTATGGTTCGTGGATGTCTAATAATTTGTTTCTTTGCAAGCTCTTGGTGTATTATATTTGCTACTTGATTATGTCTGTGTAAATAATCTGTCTGTGCCAAGAGCTTGCACCCAGATGTAATGTGTTGTATAGTTTCTGGCATGATGTGACATTTTCTGCATGTGTCATTTGTGAGTGTTGTATCTTTGAGTATGTGTTTTCTGTAGTTTTTAGTATTTATGACCTGATCCTGTATGGCAATCATGAATCCTTCCGTCTCCCCAAAGAGGCATCCCCGATCTAACCAGCTGTTTGACGCAGTTTTGTCAACAAAATCCTGGGCCAGGTCGTAAGGATGCCTGCCATGGAGAGCCTTTTGAGCCCATGATTGCTTAATGTTGTCTATGCTTTTTATATGTTGTGTCATGTCTGTATGTTGTGAGTGTAAGTTTAATGGTGTGTTATTTGAGTCTGCTAGAGTTACTGCTTTATGTAACTGTGATGTTTCTTGTTTCTTGTAGAAAAACTCTCGCAGTGACTGTATTTGTTTGTAGTGAAGGTTAACTATGTCAATCAGGCCACGTCCGCCTTCTTTACGTGGAAGGGTTAATCTTTCTGTGGCGGATTTAGGATGATGTTGTTTATGCTTAGTAAGTGTTGTTCTTGTTTTCCTTTGGAGTTGCTCGAGATCTGTGTGAGTCCAATGTATAACTCCAAAAGAGTATGTGAGTACTGGGATGACATATGTGTTTATTGCTTTAACTGTGTGTTTTGCATTTAACTGTGTTCTAAGTATAGCGTTTAACCTACTTTGGTATTCTTTAATTAATCGTTGCTTTATTTGTGTATGTTCTGTTAGTTTGGCCTGTTGGAATCCTAAGTACTTGTAGAACTCGCCCTCTTCCATGGATTCAATAACGTCTCCATTTCCAAGTGCAAAATCTTCTTTCTTCAGGATTCCTTTTTCTATGTGAAGTTTTTTGCATTTGTCTAGGCCAAACTCCATTTGTATGTCCTTAGTGTATGAATGTGTGATTTGTAGGAGTTGATGAAGTTGTTTTTGTGTGGATGCATAAAGTTTTATGTCGTCCATGTACATGAGATGTGAGAGTGTAAACTGTGTTGTTTTTTCGTGTCTGATATTGTAGCCGTATTGCGTGTTGTTTAACATGTTGGATAATGGATTCAGGGCTAGGCAGAACCAGAGAGGACTCAAGGAATCTCCTTGAAAAATTCCTCGCCTAATGAATATTTCGTTTGTTTGTATGGAAGTGTTACTAACCCTGAGATGTAGTGTTGTTCTCCAGTGCTGCATAGTGTTTTCGAAGAATGCAATGAGTGATGGATGTATTTTGTACATGTGTAGAATATGTAGCAGCCAACTGTGTGGAACACTGTCGAATGCTTTTCTGTAGTCTATATATGCCATGTGTATGTTTCTGTGTTGTTTGTGTGCTTGCCGTAGAATGACTGAATCTATGAGTAACTGTTCTTTGCATCCCCTGTGATTTCTACGGCAACCTTTTTGTTGTTCTGTAAGAATGTCGTGTTCTTCAACATGTTTGTATATTTTGTTTGTGATACAGGATGTCAATAATTTGTAGAGTGTTGGAAGACATGTAATTGGTCTGTATTGTGTGGGGTCTGTGGTTTTGTTGTTTTTAGGTTTCATGTAGGTAATGCCCCGAGTAAGAAATTTTGGCATGTCTTGTGGATTGATGATGATGTGTGTTAGATGTTTAGCTAGTTTCTGGTGCAGTGATGTAAACTTTTTGTACCAGAAATTGTGAATGTTGTCTACACCAGGTGTCTTCCAGATGTGTGTTCTATTCACAGCATAGTGGATGTCATGTATGTTTATTTCAGCACAGGGCATAGTTGGTATGCTGTACAAGTTTCTGTTCTCCTCCTCGATCCAGCCTGCATCAGCATTGTGTGTAACAGCATTGGACCAAAGAGAAGACCAATAAGTTGTGAGTTCTTCTTCTATTGGTGTGCCACTGTGCTGTGTATCAGTGTTTGTTTTGGTATTGATTTGTCTGTAGAAAAGTTTTTCATTGTTTGTGAATAATTTATTTTGTTGTTTTCGTAATGTACATGTTTTGTATTGTTTGAGTCTACGTGCTTTGGCTGCGAGTTTCTGTTTTAGTGTATTGATGTATTCTGTAATGTGTGTGTTGTGATGTTCATGTTTTGTGTGTGTTTTGATTTTCTTGAAAATGTTTTTTAGTTGTTTCTTTAATTTGGGTGTTATATTGTTTTTAGTGTATTGTGCCAACCTGCCTAATTACTGTCTAATGTCATTTATTTGTGTTTCTATTCTTTTCTGCCAGGCAGGCTTGTGATAGAATTGTGTTTTGTGTGTGTCTGTCTGCGATTGTATTTTCAGTCCATGGTGTGTCACTACTGTGACTGCCCTAGCCCCTAGCATAAACTAATGTATGAATGTCTGAGAGTGTAGAAATTGAATGAATGTAGTTTGGTAGTAAGAGAGTGTTTACATAATTTAATGTTTTTCCTACTTCCTGTGACGTGTTGATTTTCGGTATTCGTGGTCTTTGTGTGAGATCTGTGCCTGTATATTAAGTGTTTCCT